TGGTAAAAAAAAGTAGTGAAACATTAGGTTTCTAAGTGCCAAAATTTCATACACATTCGTTTACATGGACTCATGGATCGGTGGATGAAGACGTTGGTTAGAGTCAGTGACTAGAGCCAAAGAGTTGTGAATTGGTCCGATACCAGGCCACAGCAGTAAACCAAATTTGGAGAGTTTAGTTAAAGGGAAATAACTGAGACATCCGGAAGTGTCATGGCACGTGGAACTACAATAATCTACCCTGGTGGATGAAATAAATGAAATTTTAATCATCTGAAGAAGGCTGGAGTGTACAACGGCCAAAACTTTGTGAATATGGCAATGAGAATAACAGTCCAAATAATGTAAATAATGAAAGAAATTAAAGACATAAACATTATATTGATTTTGCATTCTACCTTTTTTTTAAAAAAAAAAATTAGTAAGGAAGTCAATATCAATATTGGAAAGAGAATGATTTTCTAAATTTAAACTGACATTATCGGTAAATTTTTGATCATGTTTCGATTTGGCAACGCATTTATATGAACAGTACGACATTCTAAAAAGGTAAAAAATCAATATTTTTCGCTTTTGACAAATCGTGTTTTAATGAAGTACTAATGAACACAAAAAAGATTTAATGAATATAAATGCTATTCAACAGAAATTTCTCCCCAGATATCCCTACTGTTTACGAGCGGACCAAGATGTAATCATGGCGAATAGTCTAGAACAATATTTGGATATATAAATCCTACTACTACGATTACTACTCTAGTGAGGTACATACACTTTGAATTTTCTATACTTCCGGCCTTATACCATACTACAATCCTACTGCTTTCATATGATGTATTTCTTCAGAACATGAACGAACATAGCTCACCACAGCTTCTTCCCATGGTAGATTTATAGAACAATTATAAACATAATGTGTAAGAAATGTTATGTGACGGATAGAAGATTCGTTCTTACCGTGGATCTTATTAGGCACAATAAGAGATTAACAACAATAACTAATAATAAAATAGAACAATTATTACAATAGACTGTAATAAAAGTTATGTGACGGATAGAAGATTCATTCTTACCGTAAATCTTATTAGGCACAATAAGAGATTAACAACAATAACTAATAATAAAATAGTACAATTATTACAATAGACTGTAATAAAAGTTATGTGACGGATAGAAGATTCATTCTTACCGTAAATCTTATTAGGCACAATAAGAGATTAACAAAAATAACTAATAATAAAATGGAACAATTATTACAATACACTGTAATAAATGTTATGTGACGGATAAAAGATTCGTTCTTACCGTAGATCTTATTAGGCACAATAAGAGATTAACAACAATAACTAATAATAAAATAGAATTATTATTACAATAGACTGTAATAAATTGCCTGTATAGAAACGGTTGATGTTAGTATTACTAATACATTTCATATTTAAGAGAGCTCCCAGCATCTTCAGTGATTATTTCAACAGAAAACATGCGGCAAATCATTAAATGATACATTTTTTGTACCATTTCACCCCAAACAAGGCGCGTGTGCCGCTCGTACGCATGGGGTTACAGACGATGGAAAAGAAGAATAAAGAGGCGTATTTGAGGAAAGGATTAAGAGAAGGACGCAGAACAAGATCAGAACATCAGAAGATGTCGACTGACATTACACTTGAATATTTGAAGATTATCGTTATCAGAGGAGCAATTAAGAGGAAGGGAGCTTCTCAGACGGGAAGTTCAAGAGAAGAAGCTGTTTGAGTAGAAGAGACGATTACATTTAACGGATTTGACAGTGAAATGGTGAGACCGAGATGCCAGCCTGGTAGCTCGCTTAAATTCATGCAGTCTGGGAACCAGCGAAAGTAGCTCGTCGGAACAGTTGCCGTGAAAATACTTGTAGAAAAGGGAAGTCACGGCACGTTTGTGAGAAAGTGACTGTAGACGAGGTGCCAGATCAGGACTTATTCCATTACATATCCGTCTTTGGATTTTGTCGAGGACCTCGAGACGTACAGCTGGATTCAAGTAAAGAAATGCCCTGGGAAGCTATAGAACTGTTGCAATATTATGGTCAAAATAGATGGCTTGAGAAAACGTGTTTTAAGAAAAAGATTTTATAATTTTATTAATGACAGTAATGCTAAATGCACTATCATTGTAAAGAAATGGTTAAACTCGCTCTGATCAATTGGCGTATTTGAATTGAAAGTATGACTACCCTTAGCCTTCGTGATCTTAATTTTCTAGTTGATCGCGGTTTAATCAAACCGTGGAAAGCGAGGTTTTCTTCTTTCTGCGCTAGACCAGATGCCATCCCAGGCTATAGAACCCGGTCTGTCCTGCTATTTACCATAACTTGGTGGGTGGAAAGAAGAGCATTCATACCTATTAACCTACGAGAACTGGGGTTTCGACTTGATAAGGCCACAAGCTCTAGGGGAAAGTAAATATATATATATATATATATATATATATATATATATATATAGAGAGAGAGAGAGAGAGAGAGAAATGTGTGGTGAGAATTTTGGTATTAAGAACGTGTAACTTAAAAATCTCGCGTAGTGAAAAGTAGCATTTTAAGTGAAAGTAATGGATTCGACTGGAATTCGAACTCGCCACTCCGATTTCTCAATCCGAGTCGCTATCCACCGTGCTAACAATACATATTTATAATGATATTAATAACAATTCATTTTTAAAGCAAAAATCGCCCGCAGTACATTTTATAGTAGAATTACCTACAATATATTTTATAGCAAAATGAAAAACAATACATTTTTACCAGCCTAAAATTGCGTCCAAAATATCTATATATCGGCATTAAATAACCCATGAAGGTTTTGATATGCCGTAAAGCAAAACAGACCAAAGGAAAGCGAAGTTGGTGCATAAAATGATCTGGCGTACCGAAGGACAGTTCGTCTTATCTATGCGTTCCATAAATTTTTCGTTCTAACAGATTTAGGTAATCTTATTTAATTATTATGTTGCAAGCGTTCTTTAAAACCCATCCCACTTCTGGTCTAACAACCGATCACGTATCATGAAAAGAAACTTGGGAGATAACTTATAGCTAAGAATAACTTGTGTATCATCTGTCTTGAACATAAGATTGATTGCTTTCCCAGATTGGGTTTGCCAAATATTACATACGTTCATTTGACGGCTTTTGTTTTTTTTGTTCTTTAATAATCTCGCCGTTTCTTTCTTCAATCAACTTGCTGATCTGTGGTATTTATAGAAAATGATCGCCATGAAAATAATTGAATGTGGGGGTGGAAAGTTCGTCTTCGCTCGAAAAGGATTGATCATTATCCACCCCCTCGACAGCCGATGTTTTTCTAGAACGAAAAAAGAGTGAGAAGGAAATCAGGAGAAAATAATTGACTGAATGTTTTGTTTTGCTTTTGTACGGTTTATCAACCATTTGCAGGATATTTAAAGCCAGATTTTTTTTTTTTTAGATTGTTAGAATATTTTAGTTTTTTGAGATATTAATTCACTGATACAAGTATTACTAATTATTCTACAGCTGCGTTGAGAAGAGATGGATGCAAGCCTTTCCCAAGGCTATTTCTGCATAAGTGAATATAACTTGAAATTGAAACTTGTTACATCACAAGATGTTGGATGTTGGATTCAGAAGTTCCCGCTCCGACTAGCCGACAAGCGAAGTAACTCAACCATATTTTAAGTTATTGTCTTTTATAGCGGGATTAAGTTAGTATCCCCCCCTAACATAATTAATACCAGATATTATTCTAATTTTAATACGGTATTTTATTTATTATTATTATGTTAGACTGACGTGCTGGAGGGCATAAAAGTATATGATCCCTTTTTAATGATGTTATATTCCGTGCTAATAGGAATATGGAATAGACAAACACGGTGGATAAATAATAACAGTTTTATTGTAGAAACCAGTACATCAAGCAAGGAAGTAATAGTTATGCGCCCGGTCGTCGCAAGTCAGTAGAGTTGTGTGCGTGCTGCTATCGGAAGGCCGCTACTTCTCGCAGATCTCGAGACCGTGGGCTCGGCTAAAAAATCCCCGTAGACCCCGCATAAACGGGATCGGGTCTGTCTATCTCCCCGGACGAGAGTCTGCCTGAAGGCATGCCCGAAGGCAGAGAGTTCGACCAGTACAACTGGAAAAGGTCCCAGCTCAACGGTATTTAGTAACTGCCGCACGCAGTCACATGTGGCACAAGGTCGAATTTAATGTGGGGTTCCCGAGACCGTAGGCTCGGCGAAAAAATCCCCGTAGACCCCGCATAATCGGGATCGGGTCTGTCTATCTCCCCGGACGAGACTCTACCCGAAGGCATAGGCTCGTCCGGGTTCCTCTCTTCTCGAAGGCAGAGAGTTCGACTAGCGCAGCTGGGAAAGATCCCACCTCAACATTCCTGCCTGCTGTCCTAACGGATACTTATAGGTGGTTACCATCTATAGTGCCGCATATTCATGGGGGTAGCAGGTTATTCCATCATATCAAATATAAATTAAGTTATGTGGTACCCGTCTGTCTCGACGGGCCAAGATCAGCTCCAAAGAATTATGGTTCAGCTGCTGATGGCGATATTTTGTTTTTGTTATAATTTACTACAGTGTAACCCGGATATAAGAGAGTTGTCGTGACCGGAGAAGAAGTCTCTTATATCCGGGTTTCTCTTATATCCGGGTTATACTGTATATGCCAAATTGTTGAGGTGAAGAAAAGCAAATGAAAGTAATGGCCGAGTGCATTTTAACACATAATAAAATAACATTTATTCATTTACCCCCTGAGAACAGCATGAGTTTTGTTTGAATTAAAACCATGAATTGACACGTGCGTCTAAGCTTGTCACCATGTTGAATTCCGAAATCTCTGCCGCAACTATCGAACAAGAGAAGTAACTCAGTTCTATTTTGAGCTATTTTCCTTAATAGGGGGAGTAAGTTAGCGACCGCATGACAGAACTCGATTTCAAATTCCAAGCCATTACAACCCCGCACCGGTATTCCCAAATAGGCACCCATATTGGTACTGACCAGGCTCGACGTTGCTTCACTTCGGTGATCGTACGCGAAAAGTTGTTTCCAACGTGATGTGGCCATAAGCTATACCATGCACCCATTGGCGCCTAATAATCCTAAGTGGTTATCCCTCTAGGTACTGAACAGATTAGACGTTGCTTAACGTCGGTGATCCTACGATAACTGGTGTTTCGACTTGATAAGGCCACAAGCTCAGGGGGGAAAGTATATATATATATATATATATATATATATATATATATATATATATATATATATATAGAGAGAGAGAGAGAGAGAGTGAGTGAGAGCGAAATGTGTGGTGAGAGTTATGGTATTAAGAACGTGTAACTTAAAAATCTCGCGTAGTGAAAAGTAGCATTTTAAGTAACGGAAATCAGCATTTAATAGACTGACATTTCGCTGTGGTTCCAGTAGAAAATAATAAAATACAATAGACAAAGTACAAGGAAATAACGCCATAGAAAGAAATAGTATGTTGATATGGCTGATGCTAACCTCCAAGAAAAAAATCCATTGTGCCTTTTTAGTTTTACGTTTTTTTACTGGTACGAAGTTGAGCTATGATATTGAATCAATTGCTTAGTCTGCTGTGAGGAAAGTTAGTTCAGTCTGTCGTGACGATATTTAATAGTCAGAAACCATATTTATCAATCTACCATTCGCCATTGAATACTGCTGCCATATTAATTCTGGTGCTCCTACTATATGATTGGAAATTCTAGACAAAATGCAAAGACAAATCTGTAATGCTATCTATCCTGTCATGGAATCTCGACTTCAGTACACTTTCTCATGTACGCATGCGCACTGATTATATATTTATTAAAAGTTAATTTTTGGGTTCGTAAAGTTTACTGGAGATTTTGATGGAAAACTGACTGGACTGAAAGTTGTTGTTTACAGGCTCAAACCGAAAAGTATCACTTAATTAAAACAAGAACTTTCTGATAATTCTTTTCAGATAATTCAGATAATTCTTTTCTGAGATTAATCTAGATATGTATCAAATGATTGTGTTGCTGATAGAGTTCAGTGTTGTTTTGAGCATGAGGGGGGGAATTTTGAACATGTTAAATAGTTTATTGTTATAGTGGAACACACCTATTCTATAGTTAATAGTCTCTCCCAACTATAATAAGTAGGAGTAGTAAGAGTAACGCGTGAGTCGGTCAGCAGTTCGGTCTGAGTTCAGACTGAAGTCGGACGACCGGCTGACCGGTTGAACTCTCTGCCTTCGGGCGGGGAGGAACCCGAACGAGGCTACGCCGAGAGGGCGTAGTCTTTTTCGGGGAGGTAAACCGACCCTGAACCCGTTTATACGGGTTCAATGGGCATATTTTTGGCTGAGCCCACGGGCTCGGAGATCCCACGTTAAACCGGCCTTGTGCCACATGATGCCCTCGCGGGGGGGGGACTAAATACCGCTCAGTGGGTCGGTCTGAGTTCAGTCTGAAATCGGACGACCGGCTGACCGGTTGAACTCTCTGCCTTCGGACGGGGAGGAACCCGAACGAGGCTACGCCGAGAGGGCGTAGTCTTTTTCGGGGAGGTCAACCGACCCTGAATCCGTTTATACGGGTTTTAAATAGGGCATATTTTTGGTCGAGCACACGGGCTCGGAGATCCCACGTTAAACCGGCCTTGTGCCGCATGATGCCCTCGTGGGGGGGTGACTGAATATCGCTCAGTGGGTCGGGCAGTCAGTCTATGCCGGACGACCGTTAGTCGGATACTAAAGTGCCAGCGACCACAACTAGATTTCTCTGCGTCATATTCTCGTTTTGTACGTCGAACCATTTTACCGACCTACAAATTAAGCCACCACTGTGAAATCACTCCATAACATTGATAACGCTTTTAAGCATGTTGTTTTGATGCACTAGTACATATAAATTTTTTTGAACTGTAGTAGTCGTCGTCAACTGACTGCCATTTCTACCATTCTGCCTAATATATAGTGGTATGGTTACACATGGTGACCTCCCCCCCCCAAAAAAAAAACCGGAACTTTTTAACAATCCAATAAAACCAAGTGTGATAGAAGAAAAATATTTTATTCATAGTAATTGAAACCTTAAAACATGCCATTTAAGAAACAATGATGGAATTTTCATTTTTTTAAAATTACGTCCTGTAGATGGCGTCCTGTACGAATGCAGTTTTGAAATCTGCTGTTGAGATTCCTCATTGACTGCTGCAACATCTCAGCTGGGATACTTTGAATTTCATCTTGAATTCTAAATGGCGAAATGTTTACTTGCTCAAAGTCACTGTCTCGCAGTGTTGCTACTTGCTCATGTCTATCAATACGCACTTCAAAAATTCCCATTTTTTGGGGTCACCCTGTACTAATTGATATTAGCCTAACAAATCCCATTACAGAACTATTACAATTTATTTCTGCTCAATAAAAGTTTATGAAAAATGGGATTATTTTTGCCGTAATCTTTTAGGTACTTCCATGAAACCCCTAAAAACTCAGCATACCGTCACGAAAACGTACTCTAAACGTAATGAAAGTATAGTTTTATCGTCAAAATCAGTTTCTTATTATTAAGAAGAAAGATCAAAGTATTTTTATATATTTAATTGAATTATTTTACTCCTTTCTAGAACATACGAAATTTTGATTAAATATCTTATTTTGCTTGCGTCACCGGATGTACTAACTTGAAGCATAGCAAATTTTAGCCTCATTTTTGTGGTGACAGACACATTAATTTGGAAATCCATGCAAAATACAAAAAGGATCTCGAATTTTATTAAAATTTTCAGGACTTATTCACAGATGAATGAAATTATTTCAGAAATGTTTTTCATTAGAAAATCTTGATAAAAATGTTCTTTTACATCTGTTTCAGCCCTTACTTAATTTTATGATAACTTGAGAAATTCCACGTGATAATTTTAGGTGACTATATTTGTTAAAAGCAGAATTCGTTGGAGAATTTAAATCATCGATTTCCAAAAATGTGCTCTGAACCAAAAAGTTAAAAACGCAATAAAACTAAGACATTATTTAATTAGAGAAGCTTTCAATAGCTTTTATGAATATATATTAAGGAAATATTGTTTTTAGAAAAAAAATTCTATGAAAAATGTGTTTTTACAAAATTTGTTTTCATTTTTTTTTTTTATATTTTAATTAGAATTATTTGTTATTTTTTAAAATTCAGTTTCAATGGTGTAACTCTTAGGAAGGATTCATATTACGTAAAAGCATATTTTCTTTCTTTTTATGTGCCATGTCCTTTCAGGACGTAGGCGATTATGCCTCTCCACCTCTTTTTATCACTTGCAGCTCCCCAAAAGTTCCTTTCGCCTGCCACCTCCCCCAGATAACGTTCTGTCATCCATTTGCTTAAGCCCGCTAGGTATGTCAGGCGTTGTTTTACCTTGTCTTTCTTTCCTCTTGTCTCTCTTTCCCTCTGTTTGACCTGTGAGTATCAGATTCTCTAGGCTCTCCTTTCTCATTATATACCCCAGAGATTTCAGCTGCCTCTTCCTGATATTAAGTATAAGTCTCCTCTTTTTTTACATCTTCTCTAAGACCTCATCGTTGTTCACACGCTCGGTCCATGATTTAAATTTAAAGCAATACTTATCACAAGTCAGATAATTTTAGCTAACGAATCGAATTCGTATTAATCGGAGGGTACCTGTATTTGGTTAGATGCAAAATATAAGTGGCGCTGTATATATTTCTGAGATGAGGTATTATGTATTATTATTGTCTCTCTTTCCCTTTGTTTGACCTGTGAGTATCATATTCTCTAGGCCCTCTTTTCTCAGAGATTAGAGCTTCCTCTTCCTGATGTGAAGTATAAGGCTCCTTCTTTTTTACATCCTTTTTAAGACCTCATCGTTGCCCACACGCTCGGTCCATGATATCTTCAGCATCCTTCTGTAGAACCACATTTCTTTCGCTTCGACTTTCTTCTTCATCTCTGGGGAAATCGTCCAACATTCGCTGCCATAAAGAAGGACAGATGTCACGTAAGCGTTCAGTATTCTTTTCTTTGTTACCAAAGATATCCTCCTGTCTTGCAGTACTCTGCCCAGTTATAACTTTTTTCTTTATATGTGCCATATCTTTTCATGGCTCTCCACCTCACTCTATTCTGTGCAGCTCTCAGCAAGCTCCTTCCCTCTGCTTCCTCCTCCAGACCACGTTCTGTCATCCATTTGCTTAAGTCCGCCAGGTATGTCACGCGTTGTTTTCCCTCTATATCTTTCACTCTATTTGTCCCGTGAGTATCAGATTATCCAGGCCTTCCTTCTTCATTATGTGTCCCAGCAACTTAAGCTGCCTCTTCCTGATGTTAAATATAAGCCTTGTCTTTGTTTGCAACCCCTCTAAGACCTCATCGTTGCTCACACGCTCGATCCATGATATCCTTAGCATCCTTCTGTAGGACCACATCTCCGTCAACTCGAGTCTCTTCTTCATCTTTGGGGAACTCGTCCAACATTCGCTGCCATAAAGAAGGACAGATGTCACGTAACAGTTCAGTATTCTTTTCTTTGTTACCAAAGAGATCCTCCTGTCTCGCAATACTCTGCCCAGCTTTTAGAATGTGTTCTTGGCCATCCCAATACGTCTACGGATCTCAAGATTTATTGCGTAAAATACACAACTGTGGCACAAGGCTGCAGTGACGTACTTACCGTCCTCTGTCAAAACGCTTCCCAGATATTTAAACGTCTAAACCTGCTTGATTTTAATGTTCCCGACCTGAAAATCGCATTTCCGGCTCATCCTTTTACTGATGACCATTCATTCTGTCTTCTTGCTGTTTATAAAAGTCAATACATCTTCTTTAATTGCAATAATAAAAATGAACACAGAGATTTTAGTATTTAATCTGCCAGTCATAATATTCTTAGCGTCCTTCTGCAGAACCACATCTCTGTCGCCTCTTCTTCATCTTTGAGGAAATCATCCAACATTCGCTGCCGTAAAGAAGGTCAGATATCATGTAACAGCTCGGTAATTATACATCTTAAAGCTTATTACAATCTGATACATTCGAATATTTTAAAAGAAATTAGAATTGTT